AATGGGCGCACAGTAGGCTGAAACGAAACCCTGTTGTCAAAATAAAATATCTCCTCACAGGATTAATTGTTTTGAGTGTTTTTTAATTGAAGGTAAATAGATATATTTCAAAGGAAAATTATGTAAAAAAAGTAAACCAAATGGTCAAAGCCACTTGTAGGTCAAACAGTAATGATTCATTACACTGTGAGACAAATGGTAGGGGTCAGTGATCGGGAAGGGTTCAAACTACCGGGGAAAGTTGATTATATAGAAAACCATTATATGAACAGATTAAAGGAATTGTAATTTTTAATTTGTTTAAATTTGTTTGAGCAAAATCGGACCAGTGGTTCTCGAGTTATGTCAAAAAAAGACCACCGAAGGTGACAATTTCCCCTATTGATAGTTATATATATATCTCGATTCCTAGACGTGACCCAGCGAAACGCCGGGACCCGTATAACTTGTTTTTTACCGATATAACATTTCCCGTTGGTTTCATCCCATCCCGATTTTGACTGTCGCATAGTGTTATTAAACAAGAACAAGTAAAATTCTATGAAATATTTTTTTTTTAATTTTTAACCTTAACCATTTAACCCTACCCTCAACCTTAACTCTAACGTTAACGACGAGTGTGTCCAAGGCGTATTCAATACGTTAAATACGCCTTGAGTGTGTCGTTTTTTCCTTACAACAATGTTTGCATCTACTCTCAACTGAATGCAAAAGAAGTTTCAATTCAAACATTTCATTGAGCTCACCGCTCGTACCCATGAGCGTGCGTTAGCAGAAAAAAAAAATGGCGCACAGCTCATGTGTGTGTGCTTCGATATGAAACACATGCTCAAAAATTAAATATTACTTGTTGACCTACAAGTGACCTTGAATATATGGTTTAATTTTTTACATAATTTTCTCTTGGAATATATGTATTTACTTTTAATTTAAAAAAAAAAACTCAAAGCAGTTAATTCCAATAGGAGGTATTTTATTTTGACCACAAGGTTTCTTTTCAGCCCACAGTTTCAGACTTACATCGTCCCGCAATTCCATAATTATTGGTTAACAAGCCATCACAGGATCAGTAAGTAAGTACCCAAGTTGATTGTTTATTAACTAACGCCCTTAACTCTTCCTACTTATTTATCCTTCAACCTAAAAACAACAATACTTTACGCTTAATTACTTTTCGCAGCTCAGTAAATTATTCAGAGCAACACCTCGCCGAAAGCGTATGAAAGCCTTATTCAAGTTCGAGATGTAAGTATGTATTCTAAGAGTATGTACGTACATGATATATGTATGTACGTTCTTAGACAAAACAACAATAAAAACAGCAGGTAATAAGTTTTATTGTGAGTACGTGGCAAAATTACACATTCCTCTCAACCCAAACTCATCCAACTTTGTTTTGCAAATTGTAGCGAATCAAGTCGCTAATTGATTACCAGTAAAGCCCACAACTTTCTCGGAAACTCACATAAATATAAGTAAGCGACTACTTAGATGAAAAGTTGGTGTGAGCACATAAAAGTGATAAGCTGCGAAATGTCAGAGTTGCTACGAATTCGTGTGTTTATTTTCTTAGTTCGCGCTCCGACAGCCTAATAAATGTGACTAATGCGCAAATTTACTACCTGATTCGTAAAGCTGCTTATGTATTTATGGAATCTGCTGTAATCTTGATAGGGTGTGCAATAGTTAAAGCTCAATTTACACTCAACACAACTGTTACTCAACTTTGAAGAAGGAAAAAAAAACATAGAAATAACGTAAAATAATACAAAAAGAAGCATACATTTAGGTGCACTAACACATCCACTTGTAAACGCATGTTAGATAACTAACGATAAATAGCTGACCTACAAACCTAACCTTACCCATAGCAATAGCACTAAATTATACATGACGCATGTCCAGTTGTAGTGCGGAGAAAATGAGATAGAACAGAATAAACCCCATGGGAATATAAGGGGAAAGGACAGTAAATTAGCTCGAAGGACAACTAGCTAAGATCCCAAGCAGAGCACGACCACAACTAACTGAACTAATTAAGCTGTTTATGGTTAAGCGCCTATGTGTAGGCAACAATATGTAGGTTAGAAGATAAAATAGCTCACATATACACGTACTCGTATATAACATATGTATATGTACATATAAACATACTATAAATACCAATCGGTGTCATACTATATGTATACATGCATATACTTATGAATACGTATGCATTTCGCACACATTCGCTTGAGTACATAAATGCAAACTGAGCCACAATACAAACAATTAATATGATAAATCTCTTGAACTACTATTGAACGCTCAATCGCCTATTGCAACACTCAAACACATCCACACTCATAGTGCTCATTAGGCGACCACAAAAGGTGTGGCTGTATATACATATGTAAGTGTTTTGTTGAAAAAGTTTTTTAATACTCTTTAGCAAAATTGACAGTTTGACAGTTTGGATCAACGCGCTTGCTGAAGTGGGCGCAAATATGGGAAGTATAGGTGTAGGTTTTTATAAGTAAAACTGTACGTAAATATGTACATTGTTTTCCTGATTTTAGGCGCAAAAGAAGACGTAAGTAGATTTTTTTTTTCTTCAGAAAAGCTTTTCCGAAACTAATTGAGTAAAAAGAAGCGCCCAATAAGCATTAAGAACCGCAAAAACTTATGCAAACACGACCAAAACAACTGCGCCTACGAAGGAGGCGAATGTTGCAAGATAGCACGTTTTGAGGCGCTAACTAATGGGCTTTGACAGTTTACTGGTATTAAGAGAAATCCACATTAAATGATTTATGAGTTGTTGCAAAAGAAAGGCTGACATTCAACATTCAACGAGAATACGAAATATAAACTTACCGAAACTGAGCAACAAGTGAAATATTGAGCACTAAGGTATTTTAGGACGAGTTAAATTTATTTGCAGCAATTTAAAGGAATTTTAACATAAGTAAATGGAACGAACTATGTATGATGGCTGAGATATGGCATTATCTAAGTATAAACAAAAAAGTTAAATAAAACATATCAAATAAACAAAAAGTGAAAAAAATGTTATAAAATAATATAATATAAAATGAATAAGACGTTGTTTACGAAATGTATTGCAGTCGATGTCATTATTTTGAATTGCTAAACTTTTTTTAACAAAAGGCATTATATATGTATGTAGTGAAATTAATTGTTTCCTTCTTTGTTACATTTCAAAGAATTACGTTAAACCAAAACATCACACGGGCGAAGCTGCGGGCAAAAGCTACTCTATTTACTAAATGAAATTTCAGTTGGAATAAACAGCCTACTGCATAATATCTACCACAAGGAAATAGTTTGATCTTTAAAAGTTCTAATCTTAAAAATATTAGCAACTGGCATTGACACTTTTTAACTTTCAGCACAAATACTTGGCTTGAACTACTAATTTCTCGATACTAACTGAAAACCAAACATAGCATAATATACAATTCGGTAAAAATAATTATTGAATGAACAAATAAGTTACCAACCTTCAATTGAAAAGAAAATAGAGGATTCGCCCTCAGTAATGAATGATTTTTTGCTAACAATGTTATGCATTTTCTTCCATTTAAAAAATACTCGAAATTTCATTTATATGAAAGGAAATGACTAGCACTCTCAGCAAAAAAAGTAAAAAAAATCAACTAGAGTTGTTAGCCACTTGAAACATGCATTTTATCCTATTAAAATTGAAAGGGCTAGTGAAACAGCATTACATACTTTTTTTAAATTTGAGTCAAATTAATTTCACTATTTTAATTAGTTTGCTCGTTGGTGACATAAAACTATGAATTTCTGCAATAGTATGAAAACATTGAGCCGCGTGTTACAAACTTTACGAAAATTTTGGCAATTATTTTGTGTAGGCGCCTATTAAATTTGCAACTCAACCCACATTTAATTTTTTACGGCTGAAAAAATCACTTGGATTTCTCTTGCAACAGTGTAGGTGAACTCAGTAGTATTAATAATCGGTCGCGATACATATTTTATAAGTTGACACAATTAGCTTTTACGCTTGCTGTTGATTTAAAGTTAATTGCAATAAAATGATTATATGTCTGTGGTCACAAGGTATAACAGTTTAAGTCGGGATATTTTAAGTATATTGCACCATTTAAACCATAAGGAAGTTTTATGAGGCTTTTTTTTGGGAATATAAGAGAGGGTTAGTGAAGTTAGAAGTTCTTTCTTTGAAGTTTATTTGTCAATAGATTTTCAATGTCTAGTGCCTCATACGCAATGGTAGATACTACCCGAATGGTACATTAAAGTAAAGCCAACGTCTTATGCCTTGTGATTCCAGATATAATTGTAATGAATGCTCTTTCTTATAAAACCTAGTATTTGTAATAAGTATGTAGGTACAAAGTGAAATAAGCGATTAATTTTAATTCGAATTTAATAATTTGTTGATTGTAATCATGTAACTACTTGAACTAATTCACGCTTGAGCAGCCAGTTTACCTGTTAAACTAAAAATTTACAATGGAAGTATGCAACTACATATCACTGCAAAAAAAGTGATGTAAACAAGTCGTTGACTTTTATTACGTAAACCGAGCGGGTCATTAGTCGTCATTAACACAAAATTTGCACTTCTAACGAACAGCTGCGCCCATAACTATGCTAACTCTAAAGTAAGTGTATACCATCCCAGTCGAAAATGTAATGTATGGTAATCGGGTAATCGAATAAATATACAGTAAAGCAGCCGTTTCCACATTCGAAAATGCTTTTTTTTTGGCGATGTCCTAAAAAAAGTGGATCATTTAATTTTGCATTACTTAATATCCAGAAATCTATGGGATTTAATATGAAATTTTTGGGACTTTTTGAATACATTACAGTACTGTGTACATATTAAACAATAATAGAATATAAAACTCATAAGCAATACATTAGATCCCCACTGGGATATTTGCAGACACACACACTCATACAAATATGTACATACATATGTATGTATGAATTTATAGCAGTCAATTTATCACTTTTGCGCTTATTACTTACTGCACTTCTTCCATTGCCGGAATTTGCGATAAAAGTAGCAGGAGAACACAATGAAAATCACGGACAGCACCACCAACGCAGTGACAACACCAATCCATAAATAATTGATGACCGTATGCATATCGGCATCGCCAAAAACACGTTCTGAGAAGCTACCACCCACATCACCGACCCCACGCTTCAGGTCGGCCATGTTCAACACAGCACTCCTTGAGATTTGTTCGCTGGTAATGCGGTGGCCAGTCGCATCCACGCCAAGCGGGCGTAGCGCCTGCTCCTCTGTTGCCTGCCTGCTATGTGCCTGTGCGTTGGCGGAAGCAACAGTGTCGTATGCCACATTGCCGATGCGCTGTAGCAGCGTATTGAACGTGTGCAACGTGTTGATGTGCTCGAGATCGTGATGCGATGGTATCTCGAAGGTGATTTGGTTGTGTGTCAACTGTTCGCCAGAGTGAAGCAGCCGGTCGACTACGTTGTTTGACGTAACTGCCGCCAAGTCGGCGTAAGGGGTATCAGTGAAGTCGGTTATATCGTCAGCAAAGCTGGGGGTGCTAGTATCGTAAAGATAATGCGCTGTTGTCGTCACTTCCATTTTTACACTTTAAATTTTTTACTAAATTTTATTCAGCAATTTTTCCACTTCCCGTGCTATCTTTTTGATTAAAATAATTTTTGAAGTAAATTCAATAATATTTTCCCAATTCACATGCCTACATATGTCACTAATAGAGTTGGTTTGTTAATGTTCGCTTCACTAAGCGCGCGTTTCAATAAGCGGAATTTATTTTATTTTTGTAGAAATTCCGACTATTGCTAACTAACTACTATTTACTACCCATAGAACGCGCCCGTTGATTGCGTGCTCACGCGTTGCCCGTCCAAGTCGAACTGATTGTTGAGCCAGCGCATGCAACAGAAGTCACTTGCCACCAGAACAGCCACCAGCCAGCCGGTTTGTAGTAAGTAGCCAAACAACATCTCTGCGCGCTCAATATCCCTTATGGAGGGTATGTGGCCGAATTGTATGTGATTGCACTACAACTCTTCAGAAGGGAGTTTTATTTTCTCTCTCTCTCTCGCTTTCCAATAACCTCACCTTCTCTCCAGCACTTCTGCCGACTTTTCAGTGGGCTCGTAAACAAAACGTCATTGCAGGAGTCTTTCACTCAACAGTTTGAATTGAACTCGGAGTCCGTAGCGGCGTCTGGCCAACTAAATCTTGCAACACTGCGCTGCAACTTAAAATCATTCTTGCCACTTTAACACATTTACACCTACTTTCAGTGAGAGGGTGTTAGTTTGCGAAAAGAACGGAGAATAATGGCCAGAAGAAGTTATTCAAAGCAGAGTCTACGTTTGTAGAAATGTATGTACATATAAGTGCTCAGCAGTTCGACTCCAATCGGCAGGATATGCTACTGACCTAATTCAATATGTTGTATGAACGAACCGACGAGGAACTGCACTATTCCTGATTTTGGTCAGAGCTACTATTGAATTTTCTGCAATTTTGTTCGTTTATTTTACCTTTAACGAACGAGGTAATGCCGATAGAGTCAAAAGCCAGAAATCAATTAATTTTAATTAGGGATTTCTTCCTTTATACTATTCTAACACTTGCAATATCTATTTAAATGTACATACTGATGTACACACGCTTTGGTCTTTGCTAATAAAACTGTTGATTCATATTCGAGTAAAGATAAAACCACATAGTTACATACATGCAGGGCCGTCTAGAGACAGCTCGGAGCGCTGGACTGAAAAATCACGGGCCCCTGTACATAACACTGTGCAACACTTTCGTATTCGGATTTTGCTACGAATCGTAGAACAGGTATGCTGCAATCCGAATCGTATTTTCGAACTTTCGAAGAAATTTACACCTTTTTTGCGTAATTTTGTACGAAAACAATTTTGTTTCGGAAGCGAAATAAAAAATAAATAATATAAAATAAACTTTTTAATATACAACGCTTTTATAAATGGACTAAAAAGTAGAAAATAATATTTCTCAGTCCCATAAAATTTGTTTTGATAACTTTTGATTTTGAAATTTTAGTAAAGGTCGTCATAAACAATTTATGAGATTGAAAACGAAAAGCATGTAATAGACACCTGAACTGATATGGAGGGTAATATATGTTCATATGTATGTGGATATATGAATAACGACCGCTTAAAATCGATCTCAAATTTGTACTTTCTCTGTAGGAATTTTGAGGCTATGTTATGTAGTTTTCCTATTGTCAATTAAATATATAATGCTTTGTATTGCATGCGCCCCACGCTTTTCAAATTCAATCTCATAAATTGTTTATAACGACTTTTGCTAAAATTTCAAAATCAAAAGTTATCAAAACAAATTCTATGGGACTGAGAAATATTATTTTCTACTTTTAAGTCCATTTACAAAAGTGCTGTATATTAAAAAGTTTTTTTATATTATTTATTTTCTACTTCTTAGTCTTGTCTGTATAAAATTTTGCAATAGATATTAAAATAATTCAACGATATTAATAGATAGGTGCACACACATGCATTTACGTATGTATGTACATTAGACTGCATCACCAAAAAAAGTTGCGTTTTTTCCGCCGGGACTACAAAATCTATTATATTTTAAGGCGTCCACCAAAATATTTCGGCCAAATATTAAGATTTAAGCGAGCTGGACCGATTTGAAAATACCTCCAAAAATGAAGTTTTTTATGAATAAAAATAGTTTCTTAAAGAACTTTTTGTAAAAAGTCCCCTCAGATGACAAATTAGATTAAGCTTAAAAAATCTGCATAAACATATTTAAAAATCTTTTCAACGGAATCGTAAGAATGAGATTTTTGATGCTGTTTTTTTTACTTTTTTCAAAGATTGGTTTACGAAAATGTTGAATAACTGGGCCAATAATGTTCTGATTTAGACTTATGGGACATCAGTAGAAAGGTATTTTAACACTGTTTTTATTCCTGGTAAAATAGTCATTCGTGCCCCATCTTGTTTTTTCGAATACCAACACATCTTAATTCAACTTTGAATGACGTTCGTTCATCCTACCTTTCTCTTCCATCCTTTGAATGAGTTTATTAGCAAAGATTGAGAAAATACCTTTCCAATGACACCTCTTAAGTCTAAATCGGAAGAGTTTAGGTTCAGTTATTCAAGTTTTTCCTATACCAATCTTTGAAAAAAGTTAAAAAACAGCATCAAAAATCTCTTCATTACGATTCCGTTCAACATTTTTGTTTAATTTTTTTTAATATTTCTATGCAAATATTTTAAGCTTAAACCGTTTTGTCATTTGAGGGGATTTAAAAAAAAAAATCTGTAAGAAACTATTTTTATTCATAAAAAACTGCATTTTTGGAGGTATTTTCAAATCGGTCCAGCTCACTTAAATCTTCATATTTTTCCGAAATATTTTGCTGGACGTCTTAAAATATAATAGATTTTATAATTCCAATGGAAAAATAGTACCGATTTTTTTTGTATGGGGAGTGATGCGGTCTAATGTACATACATACGAGCAAAGCTTGTAAAATTTTTCTTGTACAATGAAGACAATTACACAATAATTTAAGTATGCTTTTACTTATACAGTGAAATGAACTGGAAGGATTTAGGATATCATCGAGAAATCAAGGATAATCGTAACAGTAGAGATCCTGTGTACTTTAAAATAAGCAAAATATGCATGGCCGTTAAAATTAAGATTGAGAACCCTGAATTAGCAAAATGAAATATTCAAATCCAGAGCTTAAACTTTTCGGCCCTGGGACTTAGGTACATACATTTCAATTAAAATTACAAAATCGCCAAAAACCCACTCTAATTGCCTACTAGAAAGGATCCTCAGCTTAGTATCCTTCGACGTAGTTGCGGAGAATTTCACGGCGGTAGAGTGACGGTCATAGAGGAGTTCACAAGTATGACCTGTGGTCAGACCTCACAAAGATCATTTAGACGGACAATTACAATGAAGACGCAGAATCTTAAATACATATTTTCTAGATTAACCCTGAGGATTTTGATCGAGTTTGACACAGCAATCGTTTCCCAATCTCGGCACGCGTAGCGTGACTTGGTGTGGTGCGCCGGTCACGCGGGGTACGTGGCGCGCGTGGACGCTGGCCGTCGCGAAGCTAAGCAAATTTAATGTTTGAAAGAGCAATAACGTCAATGGATTTTATTTCGTTTTTAAAAAGGTAATTTTGTCAGTTGACTTTATTTCGCACCAGGGTGGGAAATAAAGTCAATTGACCTTATTTCCGTTGATCTTATTACCTGTCACCCTTAATACATATCGTGCACATAATTTAGTATGCAGGTATTGTGAATGTTTTCGGGTTTGTCATTTTTAAAATGAAGAAATATAGAAAATAGGAACTTCTTTAGAAATAAAATAAATGTGCCTGTTCATTTTCTCCGAAATTCATAAATGGAGCCAAAAAAGTTATGTAGAAGGCGAGCGCCGTAATAAGAAATTCTTTATTATCTTCCAAGTTGGAAAATTCTGGCTTAAACGAGCGAGGCACACCGACTTTCATCAAAAAAGATCTATGTTTAAATTTACGCCTGTTCTTCTGGAATTACTGGACGATAATGTAAACCGATTTTGACGATCTTTAAAATTTATGCTTTTCTCGTTAAAACCAGCATATGCTCTGAATTTCATCAAAATCGGATAACATTTACTATTTCCGTCCCCAAGAGCTGTGGGCGTGGTAACGCGTAGAATTTCACTATTTCCACTATTTTCTTTTATTAAGTGCCGAAAAGCGCATATGCGAAATTTCAGCGAATTTCTAGTACGATTACTACTTTTGGCCGCAGCTTATATGTGGACGTCCCACTGTGCATCATTTCGTATGACATGACCTCGCCAGCGGAACCTCTTAATTCGCTGAACTATTTCAATATCATTGTAAAGCTCATCGGATGAAGGAACGTATACCGGAAAAAAACTACATTTAAAGAGTAATAAGATCTTTCTTCAATAGGACAATCTTTTTATAACAAGAAGGAAAATTGTATCGATGAAATCAATTTGAAACCCTTTTTCTTTTTATTACTTGAACTCGGAATGAATGTGACAATATAAAAGGCTTTCAAGGATGAGCAAAGTATAAAATATTAGATATTCTTTGTTTATTTACTGCTTTGGGGTATCTCAATCGAAGATGGTAGAGAACACCGCTTCACTTACATAAGGAAACATACAGTAACTAAGTAGAGCTAGACTCCAGAAAAAAGAAGAAACAAATAAAAAGAAGGTTAAATAGATCTTTAGTCGAGCTGTAATAAACGGAAATTGAACAACCAATGGTTACAAAAAGCTACTGAATACAATTAAAATGAGATGTGTATTTTAACAAAAAACTCAATCAGCAAAATCTACTACAATTTTTGTACTCACTCTAAGTAAAATTAACTCAATAGTATTGAGTCAATACAAGTAAATTAATGCATTCGAATTTGTTTCTCGATTTCATAAGGTAAAACCGGAAAACTCTAGAGCATAAGATTTTTGTTCTCTCAAGGAAAATGTAGAAAATTTTCCCAAAGTTACTCTCTGGGAATTTATTCGTGCAGCATTTACAAAAACTAAATGGGATTGTGAGACTTCTCATCAGGAATATGCCACAAAGCAGTTGCAAGTCTGCATGCTGAGGGTAAAGGTCGTTTGTTTAGAGTTGCACTCTTTTTTGGGTGCGAAAAAAGAAAATGTACGTAAATTTTTGGATAGGCAAATAGTATTTGTTAATGGGTAGAAGACAGGTCAGGAAGTTAAAGAATTTTAATTTTTATAACCTATGTAGCTATGTATGTGTATATGTGTAAGTATGTACATATGTACATATAATCAACTACTATCATAACAGTATTTTAGAACG